TCTTCTCTGGATTTTCTCCAATTTGTCCACATCTTTCCTGAAATGTGGCACCCAGAACTGGACACAATACTCCAGTTGAAGCCTAATCAGCGTGTAGCAGAGCGGAAGAATTACTTCTCGTGTCTTGCTTACAGCACTCCTGCTAATACATCCCAAAATGATGTTTCCTTTTTTTGCAACAGCGTTACACTGTTGACTGATATTTAGCTTATGGTCCTATGGCCCCCAGATCCCTTTCTGCAGTACTCCTTCCTAGGCAGTCATTTCCCATTTTGTATCTGTGCCACTGATTGTTCCTTCCTAAATGGAGTGCTTTGCTTTTGTCCTTATTGAATTTCATCCTATTTACTTCAGACCATTTCTCCAGTTTGTCCAGATCATTTTGAATTTTAATTCAAAGCACTTGCAACCTTTCCCAGCTTGGTATCTTTAATTTTTAATTTTAGTAGGGCATGCTACATAAAAGCTTACAATGGCATGACAGGGCCCTTTTTTATTCTATAGCAGATTCTGTAACAGGCTAAACCAAAACCCAGGATTCAAACTACCTGAATTTTAAGGAAGTTTGAATCTAGATCCAGATCCAAACTTTTGGGCTTCAGCCTAGCTCGAGAAAGTTATATTTTTGTTAGCTTATAATAGATACAATAATATATTTTATCTTAATGAATGTTATGCTTTGGAAAAATAAACAAAAAATAACAAAAATAACGGAGAAAACCTCGGATCTAGGTTTTTAAAGAATAAATAAAAGCTTTTGATACTAGTGTCATGGTCTTTTCAGCTGTCTTTAATTACCATTCGTCACAGTGCTGTTCATCTACAGACCAATCCAATACCCATTGAAGTCAATAGTAGTGGTTCCCCTGACCTCAGTGAACATTGAATCAGACTTGTTTAAAAAAAAAAAGAAGAAATCATAGGTCACAAAAATTTAATAGATTGTGCAAAAATAAAAAAAGTAAGTTATCCGGGGCAGAGATTGTGCCTTCCTTTATGTTTGTACAGCACCTCGCACATGCATGCTATCACAAATGAACAGCAACAAAATAAAAGGGTATCTTCACTGGCAGCTTTCGTAAGAAATGTGTCAGAGGTGGCAATTTTGTTTAGTGGCAGATTTTTGTCTCTCTAAAGAGCTATATATCACCATTTGTGGAGCACAACAGAAGTCTGTTAAGATAGGTGCCTGCCACAAATTTTGAAAATCCTATATTTTATTTGCCTCTCCTCTGTCTTTTCAAAGAATCCATACTTCAGTATCAGCCTTCCTTTGTTCTGATTAAGTTGTAATCATCCAAAACCAGATTCTGAAGCTCCCCCTCCTCCCTCTCCTTTCCCCACAGAGCCTGTGTTTGTTTTATACCCAAATGTGACATTGTACACTGGTGCAATCGAAAAAGGCTACAATGATCAATTGAGGGCCCAATCAAAGCCTAACAGATAGGCAGCCATTCGTCGCTGTTTGATATAAAAGGTGTTTTATTTCTCATCACTTTTTTGTCACTGAAAGAATGCTTCCTACGTGCGGATTAATTAAAGTGTAAACATTAAATATTGATTGATGCATTATCAGCATGGAGCAGTTGCCTCCACTCAGATTGATTCCTGCAGTGATTTATTGTCATATTTGTGGAGTCATTTCACTTGATAACAAAGAGAAATAGGCTGCTACCTCTGCCTTTCTGGCTCGGCTTCCTTCTTTAGCTCACTGCTTCCTCTTACTCTTCTAGTGACTTATTCTAGTTCAAAGAACTAAAACATCTTCATCTTACTTTTGAGAAAAGAGTTTTGGGCTTTAGAGTTTATCTGGATATTTACTTAGGCAAATAGTTCAGTGCTGAGGATCTCCTTTCTTGAACTGAACATTTATGGTTAATGCTTTCATTTAGTATATTACAAAAATAGTCTTAATGACCCTGGGTTTCAGACAAAACTTTGCAAATACAAGTTCAAATGATCTTAGTTTAACTGGCTGCCAACTTGGCAGAAAGGTGGACTTTCAACAGAGTAACATTGTTTAGGCTGGTTTTATGGCTAAATTATCCAATTAGTCACTCTGAATGGGAGCACAAGCGCACAATAGCAGATCAATTTGAAGAATTCTGTGTTTTTACTCTCATTTTCTTTTGGGCAAGTGCATAAAAGAAAGGCCTTCAAAAATGACTTCATACTTCAAATCCTGTGCAGTAGTTAATATAAAGACTGAATCTCTGGAATGGGAGCTGAATGTTTGGGTTGGAAGATCCTTTTTTCATTTGATTTGTATTGGTCTGACGATTGGACGTAGATTCAAACAAGCAAGATGATTGAATAGCTTTCCTCTCTCCCACCCCCTTAAATTCTCATGTTCTTATTCTGTGTTCATCTGTATCAGAAACTGACTATTCCACAGCATGGCTCATTGTCAGATCCACTGCAAATAGCAGACCCTGTCAAAAGGGAGCTGTAGTTCCTGACCCAATCAGCTTAAAAAAACCTAAAACACTTATTTGTGGAATCATTTTGTTATACATTAATAAAATGTATTATTGTGGTTAGCATTCAGAGAATTGGATTAGTCAAAGCCTGCTGAAATCAGACTCATGGATGGGACAAAAACAAAACAAACTGTAATAGGAAACTGGTGATCTTGATTCAGCCAAGCAGTGAAACGTTAACCTTTAGTCAGAACAGCAACAAAAACTAAGCTGGTGAATAGAAAATAATTCCACTTCCAGACCAGAGGGGAATCATAAGAGTGGTTCCCTAGTCAAACAGCAGCAATGCCAAACTGACTTTCTGAGGCTAGGTCTACACTACCCGCCTGAATCGGCGGGTAGAAATCGATCTCTTGGGGATCGAATTATCGCGTCTCGTCGGGACGCGACAATCGATCCCCGAATCGATGCGCTTACTCCACCAGCGGAGGTAGGAGTAAGCGCCGTTGACAGGGAGCCGCGGAGGTCGATTTTGCCGCCGTCCTCACAGCGGGGTAAGTCAGCTCCGATACGTCGAATTCAGCTACGCTATTCGCGTAGCTGAATTTGCGTATCTTAAATCGACTCCCCCCCCCCGTAGTGAAGACCTGCCCTAAGAATTATGCACCATTTCCCTGAAAAGCTGCTGCAAAAAGTACACAGAACTTCATTTAAAATAGGGGATGGATTCCTGCATTCCCTTCCTCCCTCCCCTCCCACAATAAAATAAACGGACAGCACTTTATTTAAAACACTCTGCTATTCTACTGATAGACCCAGGCTGAAATAAAATGTTCTTCCTTCAGATTCCCCCCTCCAAACACAACTTTTAACAGCTGCCCTTCCCACTTTACTCTCAATTCCGGTGACATCTGCTCTGGGGCAAAATTCATCCCCATTGTCACTCAGGTGCTGTCTTCAGTGGAATTACACTTACATTTGGCCCTTCCTTCTTCTGCATAAATAAACTCCAGGACACTGCAACATAGTAACTGATGTGGATTACTTGCAAATAATGCTCTCAAAGATCAGTTTCTCTTTCCCCTTACTTTCCATTGCCTCCCCCTTCCCATCCACCCATTCTGCTGTTTTTTTACTAGGTTGTCTGTCTTATTTAGATTGTCAGCTTCTCAGGTCAAGCACCTTGCCGTCCTATTTGTCTGTAAACTTCAGTGCACACCCGAGAAGCTACATAAATAATCACTATTACCATGAATGCACACAGTAACTATACTTTCACTGATATAAGCACAGATGTGCTATAAGATCGTACTGAAAACAAAATCTGTTCTAACTGCAGCGATCGTACAGTACTTAGTAATCTTACATTTTGGGGTCTGTAAGCCTGAAGATTCTAACATGTTATATACTTAGAAATATATCAAATCAAATATTCATTGGCATTTTAGATAAATAAATGTCTTTCCTCATTCCAAAAGTAATGGTCCCTTTACATTTAAAGCTTTTGCAAATGAGGGGTAAAGGCCTAACTAATGTGCCACAGGGTTCAGTCCAAATTGGGTTAGTATTTATTATTTATATATTGCCAAGCCCATACAAACACGTAAGAGTATACATTCCTTGCCCCCAAAGAGCTTACAATAAGGGCCAAATTCTTTACTCAGACGCACATACAGAACTCCCATTGGGTGAAAACCTGGCCCCTTTAAAGTAAATGGCAAAACTCTCATTGACTTCAATGGAGCCAGTATTTCACCCTTTGTCTCCAGTAGAAGCCGCAAGACACAGGACAAAATTTGGACCTAAATTAGACAGATGTTATACAAGCAAATAAAGTTCAGGCATGCACATGGTCACAGACCGTGCTGGAGAAGACATCGGCACTGGCAGTGAAAGAGGTGAGTTCTGTGATCGTAATGAAACTTGTGCTGATATAAGCTATCCAGGAAGGTTTTGTTACATTTATCTTAATAATAAAGTGGGTGGCTTTTGAGCTGTTTCTGGATCTGTGTTTTAGTTTTCCTGTCTGCAAGTAGGTTAACTGGGTATCGTGGTATTGTGAACTATTAAAAGTAAAGAGTTAATATTGTTGCATTTCTGCTTAACAATTACAGTACGGCAACACTGTTTGTAAATTTAATTTATTTCTCTTTTAACCCCTATGAGTGTTCTTAGAGTCCAACATTGTGAGCAACTAAGTAGAATGAACAAACATTAGGAATATGTGGTGAAGTAAAGGAAACGATGAAATTAGTTTTCTGCAACAGAAAACAGATCTCTGTTCAGTAGGCGGTAAAATCATGTTATAAAAACAATATGTACTTTAACACCGTTTCCAAACCAAGATCATCTCAGATTGTCTCTCCCCTCTGGCCTGATCCTGAGAAAAGCAGAGTACTGAGAATCCCCGTTTACTTCAACAGGAGTTACATGTTCTCACCACTATACAGGATTAGGCCATAAGTTGTTTAACACCGTGAGATATTCAAGATGTGTAATGAATTATTTCATTGCATGTAGTTTTCATATATAAATGCAATAGAAATTAAGATTTGTTTTTCCTCTATGCAAAGTACATACCGTTGTTCTGTATCCTCATAGGGAGATTGTCATGGAAGGGTTTCTCCTGTATTCTGCTAAGAGCTCCCCTTTCATCATATAAAATTAAATCTATAGTGAAAAGATACAAAAAAGTTGTTTATTAGAGATTTAGAAAGCCCAAGAGTGGCCTAGCTGCAGGAACATTGGATGAAAATACATGTTGGTAATGTCTAAGTGTTAATACAGTCGTTAAAGAACTCCAAAAGGGTTGGGCTTGTTTGGGTTTTTTTAACGTAGAAAAAAAGTGATAATATTGTGAATACAAACGTTACGTTTATCACTGGCTATAAAGCAGACCTGCAGGTCATAGTATTGTACAGAAGAGATTAATTGTCTGCTCTTCAGTGGTAGTCAGATCCTAATACAAAACAAAGTAGCCTGCCAATTTGTTCTTAGAGAGAAGTTATAATTTGTATGCATTTTTTCTCCGGAGGTGAATCTAAACATAGGCTTACAAATTTTGTATTTCAAATACGTATTGCCCTGCTGCTTTCATGTATTTGTATAAGATTTGACAAATCAATGCCTTCTACTGAAAATAATGCTATTTCCTTTCCAAAAATGACTTTACCATTTTACTGCAGCAATTACAAGTTGCATGAGAATATCTAGGGTATTTCCTGAAATTGTATGTAACTGGTTTTGAAAAGATTGAAACATAGTTTAGAAGTTAGTTAAATGCATATCATCTTTATAATCGCTCAAATAATGTTATTTTACAAGTCCTGAAAATTGAATACCTTTGATAATAAATGCAAATTAGGGGGCCATAAATTGTAAGTTGTTGGGTGACCATTTTCTGCTTGTATGTAATATAATTAACTCCAGCTTTCTTCACATAGTATTTATCTTAATAATCATCTTGTATACATTAGAATAGATTAAAGGGTTGCTGTCTCTTTAGTTTTTTGTTACTCTATGTTAAATATAAGTATATTTTATATTTCTTTTCTAGGTCATCAATGTAGTTGTAAACATTAAAATCACTGCTTTTTTAATAAAGCATTTGTATAAATTAACAGGTAACTCTGTTACTTCTAAACAAATATGATGTATTAAATACATTACTAATATAAATCCAATTGCTTTTTTATTCAAAATAGCCTTTTAATGGTTGCTTTTACCTCATTCTTTTTAACCTTCAGTATTTTGTATCACAGATGATGCATTTTTTTGGTTATTTTGATTTGAATATTCTATTCAGGACTGTGAAATAGGCTGACTAGAGACGCTTATTCTACTGAATTTCTTTGCTTATATTGCATTCTATTAACATACATTGGGATTTGGAATTAACAGAGGCTCTACTAGGATAATTGTGGCATTTGGAATTAACAGAGGCCCAATAAGGCTAAATTGTGGCAGTCCAAAAATAAGCTGGCTTCTTTCTTGGACTGTAACTTGTATTATGACATAAATTAACATTTCTGTGACCTGTAATTAACTGTGTTTCCTTGTGCTATAAATAAAATTTAGCAAACTATAGCGTATATCTTAAGGTCTGGCTATCTATAGGTTTTTTTATTTATAGCTTTTTATATCTGCTCATGACACTACAGAGTTCAGGGGTATAGACGATAAAGAACACAAATAAAATATATGAATGGTTTCTGCAGCCTTATTCCATTTATTTCTTATAGCAGTACCAGAGTTACGTCAAATTCTTCCGATGCTTGGAAATCTCCGGGGTTGGGGTTTAAGTCTTTGATGCAGCTAGTAATTCCAGCCCTCACCATTAAAGCTGCATTTTCTAACTGTCCCTTGGTAATTATTGTGAGGACTTAGACAAGTAAGACTATCCAAAGGCATCACTAAGGTCAAACTGTGGTAGAAAGTGGTCTGATTTTATCCTGGAGATTGATGCTTGTATCACCTTTTTTTTTTTTTCGATTCGGCAGCTGGGGCTATAAAATGTACTTGCAATCACCGATAACATGTTAGATCAGACTACAAGTGGAGTAACATGGTATTTTATACAGTGTGTTTAGTTTTACCTAATACAACAATAAATCAGTGTACAGTCAAGGGCGTTTTGTAAATTTTAATGAAAACTTAAGGACTAAAAATATAGTTACTTTTGGATTATAAGTATGAAAGAGTTTCAGTTCTTTAGAACTGGGAGATTTATTTCAATCCATACACTTTTCAGGAAGCCAGTAAAGAAAGGAAGTATTGTCTGGGGGAGAGCAGTAAAATTAGTGACAATGCATTCCGTGTATTACAAATATTTAGTCATTGCACATACATGTTAGCAAATTGAATGGGGGCATGTGCTGTTATGTGTCACCAGTAAAGGCAAGTGCCTTTATCAAACACAAAGTGAACATGTCTATATAATTAGATTAAGAACAAACATGGGGAGAATGGGCCCATCTGTAAATTTCCTCGGGGGAGGGGGAGGAATCAGAACTTTTAATAATATCAACAGAATTTTAAAACATTTTCACCAATAGAGCAAGATGTAAAAATCAACATTTTCTGTGAAATTCCCTACATTTTATTTATGCAAAATATATTTATTACACTCTGGTTTTTTGGGGGGCATAGCTACATTTATTCCTCCTCCTGAACTCATTTTATTCCAACTGATGTCAATAAAACTTCCATAAATATAATAAATGTTACTTGTTTACTTTACATGAGATGTTCGTAGGAAGAAAATTTGGGTAAAGAAAGACAGGAGCTGAGTTACTATAATAATAATAATAAAAAATATGGTTTATGTCTACAACACCTCCTATCTGAGACCTGGTCTACCCTAGAAAATTAGGTTGCTTTAACTATATCAGTCAGGGGTGCGAAAAATCCACACCCCCGAGCGGTGTTGTTAAGCCGACCTAAGTCTCCAAGTAGACAACACTAGGTCGAAGGAACTTCCGCCAGCCCAGCTACCGCCTCTGGGGGAGGTGGATTACTCTCCTATCGGCATAGGTAGTGTCTACACTGAGGTGGTGCAGCTGCGCCAGTGTGCTACTGTAGCGTTTTAAGTGTAGACAAGCCCTGAGGATGCTAAAGCACTTTACAAACAGCAATGAATTAAGACTCACAACGTCCCTATGAGACTGGCATTTTTGTTTCTTTCCTGGAGTTTCCTTTCCCATAGCAACAGGATCAAACTGTTTACAGAATGAAAATGTCTATTTGATTGATAAGGTCATGTCATTGCAATGGCATGAGGTCTTCCTAGTGAAGTCAATAGGTAAAGGATTGGGCCCCAAATCCCCAAAAGATGACACAGCCAATATAAAAGTAGGACTTACACTTGGTCTTAGCCCCAAAGTCAAGCAGAAGCAGCATAGACTAGGCTGCCCGTTACATTTCTTTCCTCCACCCACCACCCCCAAAATATTTTGAGATATAAATACAAATAGAACTAATTTTACTCAATAAGATATTTCACTTAAATATTTTTAACTGTTTGAAGACATCTCTCCAGTACTTTCCACTTTGACCTATGTTCTACGAGTAGGATTCTAATTAACCAAGGGATAAAGCAAACTGAACTCTGACATAATACTTCCTTGGCTCCCCAGTGATCCACAATTTTCCTTTACAATAAACAAAAACTACCTTTTCTTGGCATTTATTCTTTTGTGTAGAGACTGTCCGGTTTGGCCAATGTACATGGCAGAGGGGCATTGCTGGCACATGATGGCATATATCACATTGGTAGATGTGCAGGTGAATGAGCCCCTGATGGTGTGGCTGATGTGATTAGGTCCTATGATGATGTCACTTGAATAGATATGTGGACAGAGTTGGCATTGGGCTTTGTTGCAAGGATAGGTTCCTGGGTCAGTGTTTTTGTTCAGTGGTGTGTGGTTGCTGGTGAGTATTTGCTTCAGGTTGGGGGGTTGTCTGTAAGCGAGGACAGGTTTGTCTCCCAAGATCTGTGATATATGATATACCAATGTGATATATGCCATCATGTGCCAGCAATGCCCCTCTACCATGTACATTGGCCAAACCAGACAGTCTCTATGCAAAAAAATAAATGGACACAAATCTGACATCAGGAATCATAACTTTCAAAAACCAGTAGGAGAACACTTTAACCTGTCTGGTTACTCAATAACAAACCTGAAGGTGGCAATTTTGCAACAGAAAAGCTTCAAAAATAGACTCCAACGAGAAACTGCTGAACTTGAATTGATATGCAAACTAGATACAATCAACTTAGGCTTGAATAGAGACTGGGAATGGCTGAGCCATTACAAACATTGAATCTATCTCCCCATGTAAGTATTATCACGCTTCTAATCAAACTGTCTGTACTGGGCTATCTTGATTATCACTTCAAAAGTTTTTTCTCTTACTTAATTGGCCTCTCAGAGTTGGTAAGACAACTCCCACCTTTTCATGCTTTCTGTATGTGTATATATATCTCCTCAATATATGTTCCATTCTATGCATCCGAAGAAGTGGGCTGTAGCCCACGAAAGCTTATGCTCAAATAAATTTGTTAGTCTCTAAGGTGCCAGAAGTACTCCTGTTCTTTTAACCAATTTTTAGTATCAAACTTGACCCCAAACGTTTTTGAAAGGTTTGGTTAAGGGATATTCCCTTCCAGTGCCTTACTGGGACTGGACCCAGAAAATATGAAATACAGCACAGTAGGCTATTTCTTGTGGCTTCTGCACAGACACAGAAGCAATTGATGTGTCAGAAATCTCTCACACACAAGATTTAGGGCCTGCTTCTGAAGTCATTTATACCAGTTCTGCATGTGTATGGAGTTATTCCACTGATATAAGTGAAATCAGAATCAAGTCCTTGCAGTGTAAGGGCCAAAAACACCCACACAGCCTCACTGAGCTTAAATAACTTAGTGCAGTGGTTCTCAAACTGTGGGGAGGGCATCACTTGTCACATTGCCTCCCTTACTTCTGTGCTGCTGTGGGTGCAGCGCTGCCTTCAGAGCTGGGCACCCGGCCCGCTGCTCTCTGCTCTGCCTTCAGAGCTGGGTGGAGGTATATGTACTTGGGGGAGAGGGAGATTAATAATAACAGACACAAAGAAGGGGGGGCCAATCAAATCAGTGTGAGAACCACTGACAGAATGGTCTGACT